AGCTAATGTCGTAGAAATATCAACTAAATGTATAGGCTAAGGGACCGAGCCCTGAAGCTATATGCGAAAACCAACATGCTGTCCTACTTAGCACTATCTAATCTCAGAGTAATCACTAACCGCACGGGGCAGTACACAAATCTTAGATCAGTCATTAAATAATCACGAAGCTTATAAGGAATATGCAAAATAGATACATAATGTAAATATATAATAATGGACAGAATAAGTATCAAGTGCTACACTTCGGAAAAATAACTGGCATAAAGTCACTAAAGTAACAATATTTACTTATAGAATATGAAATCTGCACGTTGGCTTAACTAGGCTTGTATATGGGACGGTACCCCTTCTCTCAAACTGGGCTTATAATATGGGACGCTATGTGTATATCGTAGCAATCTGGCACAGGACTCAAACCCGATTTATGTTTTTAATGTAGGTATAGGATTTTTTTGTTTGGTAGGAAATGACATAATAATATATATAATATATTTTGTACGGAATTTCATTTATTATTTTTATTTTATTGGAATAATATTATCACTTTTTTTGTGTTAATCACAAAAGTGCCATAACACATTTATTTCTTACTTTTCATGTTCTTTCACCTCATTTTCTTATATATTCCTTCTTCCGTTTTATATATATGTATAGAGAAGTTTTTTTGTCTATTTTTACATATACCTTGATTTACTATTCTCTTCTTGAGAAAAAATGAATTTCTATTTATTCTTCTTTGTCAAACAGCTAGGCAAACGGTTATGACTAAATCGCTACGTCTCGTTAAATTGGTTAAAAACATATGTAGTCTATAGGAATATAGTCACCAATATTTGCTTTATAGCAATATTTAAACACTATTTTAAGGACTAAAAAGGAGTTCTAAAGTATATATATAAGAATTGTGTTTGTAACTTTTGATAATTGGTTTTTGAAATTCCCATCAACTTATCTTTGGGATTAATATACAAAAGACTTATGCGTACTAACTTGGAGGACTTGCAATATTTAATCAATTGGGAAACTTAGGGGATTTGCAATATTTGATGAAGTGGGAAATCAAAAAGTAGCCCCAAAGAATTCCATAGAAATCTTATAAAAACAAAGCTAGTAATAGAACGCAAAATCAATATTTGGGTATCTTCGTTACGATTAACGATTCACAAACTGAACGTATAGAGTGTTTTAAATATTTGGATTGATGATTAGATTATGCACAGAGTTTGGAAAAAGTAATTATAGAAGAAATAAAGTACCGAGTGGAATTAGCAAAGAAATACTTTCTTCAAATCTGCAGTGATTTTTACTAACAGTGAACTTAATAAAAAATCTGTGCTTTCAACATGTAAATTTAATATATGATCTGGATTATTGAATGGATTATATATTTAGGCAAAATAGAAAATAGAAAATTTTGGATGTGATGTTACCGTAATTTGCTAAAGATACATTGGATTGAAAACCTTATAAACGTAGAAGTTCTATCTCGATACCAAAAATGGCGTGAAAATGGCGTGCCGCTATGTAACAAGCTCCACATGATAGCTTATTTGGGACACATCATTCTATATGATTTTCCATAAATCATAATAAAAGGAAAAATAAAAGGAAAACATGGCATAGAATAAAAGGAGTTATCGTGGCTTGAAATATTCGTGATAAGTCCGGATTAGGAACAAATGGGGGACTTATTCCTACAGCTGTTAGAAGCATACTTAAACGTTATTACCAAATTAAAATAAATGAATTCCAATTTTTGGTGTACGGTTATTACAATGGGAATTTAAACATAATTTAAATTTATTTGTTTAATAAATTTAATTTAAAAAAATAATTTTTAGCTAAAAATAGAGACAAACTAATTTCAATTCATGGACATATCGATTTCAAAAAATTGAAATTTATTGATACGAGAAAATTCTATCAAAATAAATTGGCCAAATAGGATTAGGCAGTAGGTGCCTTTACTACGATTCAAATAAAACTTTAAGTATTAGATGGCGTCTTTATGGTGGTTTTAGAAATTGCAGTGCATGTATTATACATCCGTTGTGGCACCATATGCACTGCTATCAACTGATGCATATAAACAATTTTGAATTATACCACAAAAAGCTTTACAAATTCAATTCCATCCTGCAGCAATTATCTCATAATAGCGATTTGCTGCACCGCCAAAGCATTTGTATGACAATGGCTTTTACATAGTTGTATCCTTTATGTAAAATTCCATTGCAGTTGGCGCTGCAAGCTTTGCATACTTTTAGAGCCACAAAACGTGGAGCACATAATGCCAGTAGTTTGGTCTCAGATGGGATGTTAACCGATTCACGCAAACGTATTTACAGCAGTTTTACTTGAAAGTTATATGGCAATTTAATTTCCTGTGGAAATTGATTGTGCTGGGAAAGCATTTTCTAATTGTTAATTAAAGTGGATATAACAAACGAATGTCACAATCAATTGTCAATGGCACCGCTTAACAGCGTATGTATTGACGAAATTCAAAGAAAACACTGAAGACCTTCGCTGTTATATTTATTCCCATTAGTAATTGAAAACTCGTTGAATTAATTCCTATTTACCCAATTTTCCGTTTGAAAAACTCTTTAAAAATCATGTATACGAAACTACATAATTAAATGGAAATCATCTCCGATTCAACCATTTGAGATTTATATTCAACAATAAAGATTTACTTGCCAATATTATTGGATATAAATTACAAATGGTTGAATCAGAGATGAATTTCCATTTAATTATGATGTTTCGTTTACATGATTTTTGTCTTATCAACATACTTACTAAAATTGATTGTATAATTCGATATTCGTTAGAATGATGTAATGTCTGAACACACTTTTTCAACATTTTCTAAATATAATTACAAATGCCATTTTTCGCAGGCGATCAATTAATCTCCGGTCACCACATTAGTTGATAGTCTTTCTGTTAATAGTCGATATGGTGACTGACCATCATTTTAACACCTGCCGAACATGTTTCTAATGATGCGACTACTCTGACTCTAACTCACCATTTAATCTGATGGATCCAAAACAAGTAGTGGTGTAGACAGTGGGGTTTTTCAGAGCAACTGAACAAATCTTCATACCATAGGCTTTCAGATCATCTGTAATCTGGGTTCCCGGTTATAGTGATATTTTTTGTAATTGTAAAGTAGCCAAGCTATCCAAAAGGGGTGCTTTTAGATTTCACTCAGAACAGCTAAACAATCTGGGCATATCATTAACATCAGGCAAACTGCTTAACTTTTTAATATAAGATAGAAAATAGAGAAATTAACGATGTGCAAGCATCTGTATGCAATTTGACCATTTTACAATAAAAGAAAATCCAATTTTCTCATTGCGATGTGCCGTAGAGATATCAATCTTGTGGTAGGATTACTTACAGGTCGTTAAAGATTAAGCAACCGTGTTACAAGATTCAAACTCCCATTCAATGATATCTTTCGCAGGGAAAACGATAAAATTGCTTTTCATCTGTTTTGTCTTTGCCCAGCTGATGCACGACGGCAATTCAATACTTTAGGGGCCCACTTATTTAAGGATATTGATCAATTTCAAGACCTTCCACTAAATAACATTCTAAGTTTTGCCAAAGGTCAAATAATGTCAAATAACCCACAGTCGTCTCTAAAAGCACACCTTTGAGCGCACAGTGTTGATTGGCTTTGAGCGAAAAGTATTGATTGGCCTTTAACACGGTGTAACATGTGATTTTGCTCAACAACTTTTGAAGAAGCTATGAAATTGCTACCTTCTTCTGAGTAGAACTTTTTTGTTGATTTAAAGATAAAATGAGATACCTTAAGCCAAATAATTGAAAAAAGTGGTCCAGCGTAGCAGTTTTGTTTTATCAATAGTTTTCAAGCTCTACATTTCTAAAGTTCTGGAACGCCAAGAAAACGTCGGAACCATACCGTATGTAGATGATTACACAATCTTTTCAATATACTTATTTCTACTCCAGTAGCAGAATATCTTACATATAGAAATATCCACATTTCGTCGACTCAGTTAAGCTCTTAACTTGCTGGAGGTGTTTCTAACCCCAGCTCATTTCAACTGGTAAATTTAGAATATCAATCATCTTCAAACCAAAAATCCGGGGTGTCATACTTAACAGTATGCTGAGCACGCTCGCCATAATAAAAAAACCCCACTTTTCTTGTTACATATATGGATTGTTTTTATCAGCTATTGCCGCAACGGAGAACATTAGTAAGGACGACTACTAACATACCACAAAATGATATTTCTGGGTGTGAAATAAGTCTCGTGCAGTTCCCTGCTAAACAGTTATTACGTTCATTCCCATTGTGAACCCGACTGTAAATCTATTCTCACATCTGTTTGCATATCTAATTGATCACACAAAATTGAGCCTTTTTTCATTTATGGCTCCACTCCGTTAAGATAGTAAGATTCCTCCAACCAGACCCAGGTTAGATACAACATTCTATATCTATTGAATTATTTCTACTCCCAATTTGCACCATATCACTCTCTCCATCCCGACTGATTGTGCAATGTCTCGTAATTATTTTATATACATTTTTTTCAAAAACAAGTGATTTGATATTTAAACAATAATGAAATATTTTTACTTTTATATTTATTTTTAAATACGGAAACCCATTTTAAATTTTAAAATTTTATGTGTAATAAAAGATCTTCGAAAACGCAGTCAGCTTAAAAATCAATTTAGTTGAAGACATTTCCACGATTTTATCACACACAAAATAGCTATTCTAAATCATTTTGCTTACATTTACATAAGATTATAAGTTGTACTCTATAATGTATATATCATATATAGATAAATTTAAATTCTTTAATGCGTTCATATGAACAAGACATTGGAGTTCTAAAGCAGTTGGTAAAATTTGAGTTCACAAACGCAACTAATTTTTTTATGCTGAATAATTCATTCAATTAAAAACTGAGGTGTCCACATATATTCTTTTTAACGGGGCTTTATATTTATATTCTATCTTTTACAAAATGTTTCTTTCAGCATTTGATGTTTTTAAAAAATTTATAAAGGGCGTGCATTTAATACTGCCACTGCTTTTTTCTTGTGCTCCAAACAATTTAATTTAGCAAGTTGTCTTACAGCCTCCATATCTTTTATGAAAGTTGCTAGTATTTCTTTATTAAAATTACTATTGGAACCCTTTAACTCATCAAGCTCATCTTCTTTTTCAATTCCTAAAAAAAAAAAATTAACGTTTTATAGAAAAATAAAATCATATTTAGACAGATAACTTACTAGCAACGTCTGCTTCAATCAAATCCAAGCGAGCAGCGATATTAGATTGTTGCACCTTAATATGTTCCAATAACCTTTGCTGACATTCATCAGTGTCAATCGCTGCCTCTGGCTGTGGGATGTTTGGTATATTTGCCACAGCTGGGGTGCTAACTGAACCTTCTTCAACTTTAATATTATTTTTGTCATCATCCGCAGGCTTAGTTTCAGTATTCACCTTTCCTTCTGCATCGCCTTTAACATCATCCCACTTATTAGCCCATAAATACAACTTGGGATGACAACGATTCCCAGCCACGTTAGTTTTAAGACGTAAGGAATGTATAAAATCCTTTATCTCAAGCAAATTACCAGTAAGTGTGTGTGTTAACTTAAGATAATCAAAGCGCTTTGGTATACTTCCAGAGTTAGTGTGATAATTGCCAACGGGTAGTTTACCTTCATACAACCAATCCTGATCGTGTTTGTAAAGCATAGATTCACGCGCACGTTGTGGATTACGGCATATAGAACAAATATATTTCTCTGGAACTTCAGATTCTTTGAAAATTTCATTACAAGAACCATGTTGCCAGCAAAGACACAGTTCACACTGAATCATAAGACCGTCTTCTTCATAAAAACCACATACACAGTTTATAATTTCCTCCTGACGCATGCGAACAATTTTAATAAGCTGTCCATTTTCTTTGATATATTCAGGACGGTTAGTAGCTTCAGGATCCGTTGCCGATATATGTTGAATCGAAGACGAACCGGAATCAGCAGTTATTGGCGAATCAATTGGCGTAACTGGTGCGGCAATGATCTTGCGTTTTCGTGTCTCTAATAATTTTGCATCCGGAGTTGCATTAAAGGAATGACGAGTTTCTTCAAAATCCGACACTCCGAAATGATTATCAGACGTAACAGGAGTAGATGGAATAGTTGCACCGCTGCTATGAGCAGCTGTCAAATAACGACGCGTAGTACGTTGCCGGTTACTTTTACGCGCACCAGAAACTCGTTTGGTTGGTGAGAAACGGGAACGCTTTGTTGAAGTATTCGAAACATTTAAAGCCGAGTCATCAGCAGAGCTTAAAGGCAACATACTTGAACTATCTGCAGTGGTGTTGATTGTTGTATCCATGTTAACCGAACCCAATGTAACGTTTTCCGTATCAGATATTTCATTTTTAATTTCTTGCTTCAAGTCCATGGTAGTTTCCTTTTTAATATCTCCAATCAAATCAGGTGAATCAGGAAACGAGCTCTTACCTCTGGAACGTGAATTTTGCATATCCTGCTGATGCATTTTTGCAAAAAACTCCTGATTTGGTATTTGGTTCTTAGGCTGTGGCTCATTGGGATCTGGTAGTGTATGTGTACGCTTCTCAGCTAATTCCTGCATTTTTGGACAAGCACCCAATAATCTGTAATTTTTATTACAAAAAATTTTAAATATTTTGTTTTTTAAACAGTTATTTTAAAAATATTTACAAACAATTTTACAAAATTACAATTATTTACTCAATTAATAAATCCGTGTAGATTTTACTGATGACAGCAAATCAACAGTTATCGAAAATCGCGGTATCTTTTACGTGACGTTTAAAAGGTAACACGGCTCAATAAAAATAAATCAATTTTTGAATGACATTGATTATTCGGATTAAAAACTCTAAGCCACTAAATTTTAAAACAATGAATATGTATTTGAAAAAACGGAATTATTAATAATATATTTCACAACATTGCCATATCTCATGAAAACTAGTATGAAGGTGTTTTATACACAATATCCTTATAACGTTTTCGATAAAATGGGGGTTATCTGGAAGTATTCTTATGACGTGTTCGATAAAATGGGGGACTCATTTCTTCAAACGAAATGGTCTTTTAATGAACCTTTAGTGTAATTTTCATTTTCGATTGGTAAATCATTCAAGAATAATTTACAACACTCTAGATATTTTAGGAGCAATAGCAAGATTACCCTTAAATTAACAGCTGTTTTATATAATTTAACAGATAAAGCGTGTTTTGATTTCATATATGTTTTTATGAAAAATATAAATGTCTAGTAATACTACTACAAAAATGTTGGATTGGGCAACAAAATTTGACATATCGAGAATAAATCTAGATTGAATCCAGATACAATCGAAAACGTCATTACTTTCAAGACATCTAAAATGAACCTAGATAGAGATAAAATCTTCTAAAATATTTTTGGGCGTTTCTATCTACTAGAACAATAGAATATAATAGAAGAATAGAATAGAATAAAATAATAGGAATGAATAGAATCGAATAGAATAAAATAATAGGAATGAATAGAATCAATACGAACAATAGAATACGATTGACTATTCCGTGTCTATTTGAAAAAGTATATTTAATATCGTATATATTTATATATATAAAAAATCGATCGCAGAAAACATTAATATCAAACAATTGGTTCAAAAATATAACGATTCAAAATGGCATAACAATATATGCCACATTATATATTACTATTATTATATTATATTACTATTATTATATTATATTACTATTATTATATTATATTACTATTATTTATTATATATAATAAGACATAGACTGAATATTTAATATGACTTCCGTAATTCGAATGTCTAAATAAAACTATTGTTCTCAATTTTAATGGGTCCGGGTTAGTGAATTTAAAGTGTATTGATAAAAATGGTTCATAAAAATGTATTTCGAAAAAAAAAATCTATCACTGGCAACAACAGCTACTTTATATTTGCTTAACCACACCGTACCAGAAATCTTACTAACAATACAATTGAGTTGGATTATTATGAGTAATTTAAAACAAAAATGAGAAACATCATTTTATTGAAATTTGGATTTGCTGTGTGAATAGGTTTTAGAAGCAGCAAGCAGAATGAGAAAAAACAAAAACAAATTTAATATTCCTTGTGTCATGTAAATGCGCCATAACCTACAAGATGCAATTAAAATGCAACTATGTTAATGTGAAAGTTTAATTATAAAGTGACCATTTCATGGTCAAGCATTTGCATACAGCATATTTTTGTATTTTAATGAAAAATGCATATATGTGCATACACTGTAAAATATTTTCAAACATTAAAATTTTTTGCATTCATTTCATTCACACATACTTGATCCTCACAGATAAAATTAATTAGAAGTGTTCAGGAGGATATGTGTTAATTTCTAACAAGAACCCACTACAGATTGAATTAATTAAAAATTAGAAACACTAATTCACAGATCATATTTAAAGAATTAAATAAGAGACATCAATCACTAGGAACATGAATATTGTAAAACAATAAGCTAAATAGTTATTTAAAATCAATGTACTAATTAAGGTACCGGAAACAAAGATTTATTAACAATTTTGTTATGCCAAATGCATAATTCATCAACACACGTTGACTACCCCAAAGTTGGTCCGTTACATCGACTATGGACTAATACTTTGGGTCTTTCATACTAAAACTGTATTCTCTTCGAGATCACGATCGACCAACAGCAACGTTTTCAGAAGATTTTCCATGATAGACATCATGATTATGCAACTAGAATGGTACGTGCTCAAAGCTATATAGTTATTTGTCATGCGTCCATTTCCAATAAGTGAATCAACTGCAGCTCCATTTCTCATGACGTCACCTATCTGTTTTCCTGCCCAAATGTCTACAAATGTTATCCTTATGGATTCATAGTTTTGCGTCATGGATATGGTAAGATTCCTTTAACTGGATTTAGGTTATATTTAATATCCATACCTGTACTTTTTTTCTTAATCCTTCCGATCACCATATTATTTTTCTTATCCCACCCATTGTACTTTTATTTTGTTGACCTTTTATGTGCTTGCTTTCGAGTTGTCGTTTGGCCACAACACTATAGCCCAGTTATATTCAATACAGTGACCAGCGATTATTACTCAATTATATTTAATGCTACTGATAGGCGTTTGCTTAATTATATAGATTTACATCCAAATGATACCACAAGTAATAGAACACTATTCTTCACCTGGACCCAGGCTAAGTACAGTCATTTTTAACACCCCTTTTTGCTTATTCTATAATAAAGAGATCTACAAAATATACTTACTTTGTTAAATTTTGATGATAATGTTTGATATGTATTTGTAAATGGTTTTCCTTCCGAAAGTTCTTGGAACAGCCCACTTCGGGACAACGAAATAGATTATCAACAATTTGCACTTTTAAGCCACCAACGTAAGCTGCAATTTCACAAAAAATTATTATAAACAATAAAATAACAACTACTATCGCATACCGTAACCATCTTCCAAAATTGTGCTACTTTTAGGTGAATCAGAACTTAGTCCTAGTGTAGATAAATCTGGTTTTTTTTCTTCAGTTTCCGATTTTATATCAACCGTTGCGTTAAGTAGCTCAGCGGGTGGTGCTGCACCAGCTACCGGTGTTTCAATATACTGTGCAGCACTTGGAGTGGTCACGGAGGTTGACAATAAATCTGAAGTGTTGCTAGCACTTGCATTAGCTGAAGTGTTCACTTTTGTTTTGTATGGTTGATGAGGTGTGTAACCAGACGTAAAGGCATAAGCATTTATATCTACAATAATGTAAAAAATATCGTCAAATAAATTATACAAAAACAGATAAAACAGTTTACCTTTAGCACGACGTCTGTGTATGCTGAAATCATATATATCGGGATTATAAACTTGTCCTTTTTCTTCCAAAAATTGTTTCAAATCCGCTTTCGAACGGAAACGCTTGCCGATGGGTGAGACAAGTATGACATCCCACTTGCCCAATAAATTCGAACGTTGATACATGTGCTTTACCCAACCAGAAGGCAAACGCCAATCGTCTACAATTACTGTGGGCTTGCGATGTTCCCCTACTATTAGAAAACCTTCACGTCCAATTGGTTGATCATTCACCCAGTGACAGGTCCACTCACCGTCGCGCGGTATTTGTGGTAGGTTAAGAGAAGCTAAAATAATTTTATTTGAAATTAAATGAATTCAATTTTTCAGTGTTTTAAGTTTACCCAAATCAATTTTAGACATATCAAGTAGTGGCCAATCCTTAACTTGTGCAGAAGTAGAGCGTCTTACTGCTTCGACGGGTTTCTCAGCTGGGTCCTCTTTAGATATTTTATCTGTGGACAACGCTTTGACTGGTGTCGAAGTTGCTGTAATGGTTTGAGTTGTAGCTAACTCGCTACGTCTCGCTTTTACATCGTTTTCAGCAACGGCAGGACTTGCTACTAATTTAACCATATGCACAGCTCGCACATTCTTGACATAACCGTCGTCAAACAGCACCTCATAGGCGTTATTGCCAAGTACTTTTTTGATTGTGCCCGGAAATTTTCGCGGACCAGACCAACGTGCTAAACATTTTTCTTCCAATTCAAATACTGGAACTGGTTTACTTGTTGCCCGTTGACGTAAACGCGTGGAGTTCATTGATATCCATTCTTCAGCACCAACAACAGCAGACTTGATTTTCCCAGTGCGTTCAAATTTAATCAACACCTCACGATCATCATTGTCAACTTCAACTACACGCGCGGTATGCCAGTTACCATCAAAGTCTTGTGCTTCAATGCGCGCTCCCGAAACGAAT